TTTTAAATCTTTGCTTAGTGTTTGGAGATGAAGGAAAGAGAATGAAATAAAACAAATGAAATGGTGAAGCAAAAGAGAGGAGCAGGCGTGAGATCGCCCAAAATTAATGTATTTTTAGCTTTTGTTTCAAAAAAGGGTACAATTGCACTTTTAGTCCTCTTTCTCCCTAATATTAAAAATACCCTTTTTAACCTAAATCGCGCCCCTCACCAAGCCTAATCTACAACCCAAATGGGCCTAGCTCTCTTAAAAGGTAATTTAGGCTCGCCTAACTATCTCAAGTCAATCCGAAACTCTTAACCCAAGATTTGAGTGTTATAGTTTCTAATCATAAACAACTAGTTGATGTACTCACCAAGTTCATTCAAAGAACCACCTTTTATGAGCTCACATCCAAGCTGAGACTCTATAATGTATACTCACCAGCTTGAGGGGGAGTTTAGATTATAGATGCTGATATATTTGTTAGTTAGTAATTTAAAATCTTAGTATTATATACCCAAATGATATGATGTTATCTTATCTCTAAATTAGTGCTTTTACAAGAATTTTACTTTGCTTAGGATTGTGGCTCTAGAGCTCCATAAATTATGAAGAATTCTTTTTTATTCAATTGAAATAAGATCCGAGAAAACTCTTCTTCTTTAAACTCATACTTTATATATATATATATATATATATATATATATATATATATATATATATATATATATATATATATATATATATATATATATATATATTACAAACTTCATTTTATAGACTTGAAATATTATATTATTTTATTGATAAAGAAATATTGCTCACTTATTTTTTATAATCAAATGATGTATAACTTTTTTAGGACTTTTTTGGGGATAAGTATGTGACTGAGATCTAGCCAGAACGTAAGGGAGGATCTATAAGGTTACATTTAATGGTATCAAAGCTTTTGGTTTTAAAAATATAACGACCCAAATTTTGAGTTAACATTAAAGTGTTGACCTAAAGTTTAAATAAATGAAATAGATATAGTATGGAGGTCATTTGGTTCAAATTTAAGTTCAATCGGGTGAGGAATCAATCTAAATTGAGATAAAAAAAAAAGAGGATTTTTAAGTTTAGAGAAAAGAGGAATGACCAAATATGAAACTAGACCCTTGGTTGATAAAAAGGATAATATCATTTAATTTTTGGTGAGGTCGTCAGTGAAAAGAATGGTAAAAGCTTAACACCCTTTTCTCATATTTCTCTTTATTTTGTCTTTTATTTCATCTACTTGTTTCTCTCTTTATTTCTCCATCAAAGCAATATCTAGAAGAAATACTTCATCTTTCCTCATTATCGTCCTTTAATATGAAATTTTAAGGTGAGATTCATGATCTAGAGATCATGATTTTCAAGTTGATCTCATCATCTTCTTCAATGGTGTTCTTGAGCTTGCTTAAAGTTTTTGAAGGGTTTAAGCTTCAGGAGCTATCTCCTATAATTTCTATAAGAATTTCTAGCATGTTGTGATTGTTGTTTTTGTGTTAGAAACATTGTGGGAGCTTGGGATATTTTGAAGAATGGTGCAAGAACTCCCAATAATAAAAATCAATAAGATTTGGTTATAAGAGTGTAAGAGGTATTTCAGTTTTACGCCATTTACATAAGTTTTGCTTACTTGTATGAGGTTTTAAAGCATGTGGGAACTTTTTTTCTTGAAAATGATCGTGGATGTTTGTGATGCTAAATGGGTGTAAAATGGTGTATAATAACTCCTACAAACTTTAATATCCAACTTAGGCCTTAAAAACCAGTGTTTGGGTGAGTTAAAAAGTGTTTCTCGTGTGAGACAAAGTATTTCTAGGATTGAGTATCAATACTAGATGAACTTGTATTGATATTGTTAATATTTTGGGTAAAATATGGGTTCTCTAGATAGTGGTATCAATACTAGATAAAATGGTATCGATACCAGGGTAATTTTCCAAACATAAAAGATAAATTCAATATTGATACCCATATGTTGGTATTAATATTGAGGGTTTAATATAGATACCAAATGATGTTGTATAAAGAATAAACACTAGGTATATATACCAGAGGCTTGGTATTAAAACTTAAAGTGGTTGTATGGACTTTGAGTTTATTTTAGGTAGTGGTACTTAAGAGGAAATATTGATAACCTATGTGCTAGTATCAATACCCATGTAGAGGTATCAATACCATCAATGATATTTGATTATTGGACTTTGAGATGTTGAATAGACTCGATAACAAGGAATCTAATAACAATTGGGATAGAGCATTTAGCTTGAAAGTGGTAGCTTAAGGATGAGAACCCAATAATAGGTGATTAGTAGAAATATGAATGGTTATAAAAGTGAAATCGAACATGTAACTCTCGAAGTGATAGCTCGATTAGCAATATGATTAAATAATGAGATAATATTCAAGCAAGGAGTCTAAAAATGTTAAAATGAGTTAGTAACGAGAATAATAATGATAATCGAATAATAATATGAATGACTAATAACGGGATGGTTAATGATGTATAATCAGACTTTTAGATGTATAGTGAGAGCTTGATAAAGAAAAGTCGATAACAACATTGTGATTATACATTAATTGTATAATATTAAGGTTATAGACCCAATATATATTCATGCCCAAGCCCTTAGTTACGAACTAAGGGAAGCATGAGACTTACACCATTGTTATGACAATGTGCTTTGTGTGATAATCATAACAACCTTATATGGTAATATTCCATCAGATTTATGCATTTATTTGACACTTAGGAAACGACGAGGACACCTGAATTACCTGTGTATGATGATCATTTATTGTGTATGATGAATGTATTAGATGAGTTATCCAAATATCTTAAGATTCATGTTGAGGCACTCAAAGTATGTTAGTTGGATGTTACTTTAATGTTGGTGTGACCTAGACTTATTCATATGCTCTAGAGGAGTAGACTAGCCTAGTGTTCGTTCTTAATGTAGATGTGACCTAGGTCTCACCCAAGAGTTATTGGCCATATGGGGCCACAAGATCTATGTTCTTGATGCATATATGACCTGTGTCTCATCCAAAGTACTTATGTTAGTGGGCTAGATGAATGTGAGTTATATGATGCTATGGCAACCTTAGACAACACTATGATGTCTATTCATGTGTTGTAGATGAGTTTTTGGTGCACATGTGACTCGAACCTCATCACTGATGTTGTTGTATTAATATGATATTGATATACATTGGATAAATGACTAGATAATATTGATGACATTTTTAGTATGTTTCTCTGGCTATACATGTTTATGTATTTATGTTATGAATGTATGAAGTATAATAGAGTTATCGTTTGGAACTGAGCTTGTTAGCTCAACGTTTTGAATGTGTTTTTATTCACAAGTTAAAGGTTACGTAGAACATGATAGACGATGATATCATCGAAAGAGTCTCAGTAGACTAAAGAGTATAATGATGACTACTTAGTGGGCATATAGAGGTAATGATTTGAAAAAAAATATTCAACTTGTAATATTTTATTTATGTATTTACGTATTGAGTTTTTAAATTGGGCCAGGCTTTTAGATATTGTTATAGTTTCCTACTTTTTGTAAACGTTTTAAAAGCTGAGTATGTTTTTAAAAGTGGTTAGTAACTTTGAAAATTATGTGTAACACTCGAATTCAAGGGATTAGGATGTTACAAAAACACTTGAACTATACATAAGTCATAAATATTATATCCATTCTAAAGATATTTTCTCGTACAACAAAAATAATTTTAAGGAGAAAGAAAAAAAAATTATCAAATATTATGTCACCTTATTTTATGATTTTGAAATGGAATCAATACTCTAATACCAATTTTGATATTAGATTTAATCTTCTAGTGCATATCCTTATAGATTTATCAGATAAATTCCAATCATGGGCGTAGGTTATTTGTGATTGTGGTCGAACGATACGATCTTTTTCTTTTATGAATGATATTTTAATAACATTAAATCTTCTTTTACCTCAAGTAGTTCTCACGCTCCACTAGTGACTTGTCAAGCTTCTCAAAATTATCTAATTTCATCATATAAAGACCAGTTGACACAGAAGACGTGGATATTGAGATCACCAATGATATCATAAATAGTTATTTTTTTACATATTCTAGAAAGTAACAAAGCTTCTGATAATATGCTCGTTATCACAATATCTTAGACCCCTACATGTTGAGATAGTGACTTTGAGAGTGTCATCGGAGGAATATCCAACTAATGTTGAGGTTTTTGAAGAATATTAAGAGGATCATAGATGGGATGAAATTTCAGCATCGGTTGAGACTCAAAATGAATAGTCTCGATATTGAAGAAGGAAGCATAAATTATATGGTGATAATCGATGGTGAGAAGTGTCCCAACAGACCTCTTGACTTGGGACTTCTCAAAGGAATACCTATAGAGTTGCTATAACAAAGAGTGTTAGCATATTGAGTAAGCAACAATGGTGCTCGTACTGCGTATGCACGGTGTATAAATGTTTAGCTTGCATGGTGTTGTTAGTAAAGTAGTTAGGAGCTTCTTGAAGCTGTTAGTGGCAGTTAGGGTTGTTAGTATCAGTTGCGAAGTTTTTTAGGCTTATATTAGACATTATAAGTTGTATATAAACAGCACAAGTTTGTATTCCATACACAGTTCTTTTCACAATCAATATACAAGTGTTATACTTTCTTACTTGTTGCTCATCTCTTTTTCATGTTCACAGTGCCATTCATGGCCCCTTTCTCACATGGTATCATTCACCAAAGATCCTTACGTCATCTTTCTTTTGTTGTTTCCATTTTGTTCTTTGATCGGGTTCTTCAATCGCTTCGAAGTTTCCTTCGTTGTTTTCTTGGCTCTTATTGGTTGTTTTCTTGGTTTGTATGATTTCTTGTTTCCCATCTCTTCTTCATTCTGGTTTCTTTATTTTTTGGGGTTTTTCTTGGGAGCGTTTTGGTGTTTTTTCTTGGTTCCTTTTCTTGGTTTGGTTGCAATGGTTGGTCTGGATTCCATTGGTGTTCAACAGATTCCTAAACAAGACATTATTAAGCTCACTGAGCATATGTATCTTTTATGGAAACACCATGTTACTCTGGTGATTGATGCTTATGGTCTACTTCGGTATATCTCCAACACTGCTGATGTTCCACGAGAATTTGTTACTGATGGGAAACGTGTTGAAAATTCAGCGTTTGTGCTCTTTCGGCAACAGCATAAACTGTTAGCTTCTTGGATTTTAACCACTGTGAGCATGGACGTCTTACCCCATTTGACGGGTCTCACATCGTTATTAGCCATATGGAATACCATTTCTTGGCTTCTTGAAAGATTAAGCTCTCGAGATGTTGTTTCTTGGACTTCTATTATTTCAGGTTCTGTGCTACGTGGATCCATGCATGAAGCGCTTCTGGCTTTCTTTAAGATGTAAGAAGATGGGGTTGTACCCAACGAGGTGATAATTATGAGCAGTTTACATGCATGTTCCTTCATTGGACGACTAAGGATATTATAGTACGTTCATACCTTAGTTTCAAAATTGGGGTGTCATCAACATGAACTTGTATTGAATTCTATAGCTGAGACATTTGTGATTTCATCTACACGTCCGATTCAAGTCGAACGGAAGGAAGCATCGGCACTTCTGATTCAAGTCAAACGGAAGGAGGCGCCGGCACTTCTGATTCAAGTCAAACGGAATGAGGCATCGGTACTTTCGATTCAAGACGAATGAAAGGAGGCATCAACACTTCCGATTCAAGAGGAACGGAAGGAGGCATCGGCACTTCCGATTCAAGTCGAACAGAAGGAAACATCGGCACTTCCGATTTATGTCGAACGGAAGGAAGCATCGGCACTTCTGATTCAAGTCGAATGGAAGGAAGCATCGGCACTTCCGATTCAAGTCGAACAGAAGGATGTAGCGCACTTTCATTTCAAGTGTTCATCTTTTCATCAAGAAGCGCACTTTCGAGAGAAGATTGGATTTCATGGATGTTCAAGTTCAGAAGAGCAGAAGAAGAAGAAGTAGAGGGAATGTTAGCATATTGAGTCAGCAACAATGGTGCCCGTACTGTGTATGCACTGCGTATGAATGATTAGCTTGCATGGTGTTGTTAGTAAAGTAGTTAGGAGCTTCTTGAAGCTGTTAATGGCAATTAGGGCTGTTAGTATAGTTGTGAAGTTTGTTAGGCTTATATTAGATATTATAAGTTGTATATAAACATCAGAAGTTTGTATTCCATACACAGTTCTTTTCACAATCAATATACAAGTGTTATACTTTCTTACTTGCTGCTCATCTCTTTTTCATGTTCACATTACCATTCATGGCCCCTTTCTCACATGGTATCATTCGCCAAAGATCCTTATGTCATATTTCTTCCGTTGTTTCCATTTTGTTCTTTGATCGGGTTCTTCAATCGTTTCGAAGTTTCCTTCGTTGTTTTCTTGTCTCTTGCTGGTTGTTTTCTTGGTTTGTATGATTTCTTGTTTCCCATCTCTCCTTCGTTCTGGTTTTTTTATTTTTTGGGGTTTTTCTTAAGAGCGTTTTGGTGTTTTTTCTTGGTTCCTTTTCTTGGTGTGGTTGCAATGGTTGGTCTGGATTCCATTGGTGTTCAACAGATTCCTAAACAAGACATTGTTAAGCTCACTGAGCATACGTATCTTGTATGGAAACACCAGGTTACTCTGGTGATTGATGCTTATGGTCTACTTCGGTATATCTCCAACACTGCTGATGTTCTAGGAGAATTTGTTACTGATGGGTAACATGTTGAAAATTCAGTGTTTGTGCTCTTTCGGCAACAGGACAAAATGTTAGCTTCTTGGATTTTAACCACTGTGAGCATGGACGTCTTACCCCATTTGACGGGTCTCACATCGTCATTAGCCATATGGACATTTCTCGGCTTCTTGAAAGATTAAGCTCCTTAGATGTTGTTTCTTGGACTTCTATTATTTCAGGTTCTGTACTACGTGGATCCATGCATGAAGCGCTTCTGGCTTTCTTTAAGATGCAAGAAGATGGGGTTGCACCCAACGAGGTGACAATTATGAGCAGTTTACATGCATGTTCCTTAATTGGACGACTAAGGATATTGCAGTGGGTTCATGCATTTGTTTCAAAATTGGGGTGTCATCAACATGAACTTGTATTGAATTCTATAGCTGAGACATTTTTGATTTCATCTACACGTCCGATTCAAGTCGAACGGAAGGAAGCATCGGAACTTCTGATTCAAGTCGAACGGAATGAGGCATCGGTACTTCCGATTCAAGTCGAACGGAAGGAGGCATCGGCACTTCTGATTCAAGAGGAACGGAAGGAGGCATCGGCACTTCCTATTCAAGTCGAACGGAAGGAAGCATCGGCACTTTCGATTCAAGTCGAATGGAAGGAAGCATCGGCACTTCCGATTCAAGTCGAACAGAAGGATGTAGCGCACTTTCATTTCAAGTGTTCCTCTTTTCATCAAGAAGCGCACTTTTGAGAGAAGATTGGATTTCATGGATGTTCAAGTTCAGAAGAGCAGAAGAAGAAAAAGTAGAGGGAATGTTAGCATATTGAGTCTGCAATAATGGTGTTCGTACTGCGTATGCACTGCGTATGAATGATTAGCTTGCATGGTGTTGTTAGTAAAGTAGTTAGGAGCTTCTTGAAGCTGTTAGTGGCAGTTAGGGCTGTTAGTATCAGTTGTGAAGTTTGTTAGGCTTATATTAGACATTATAAGTTGTATATAAACAACAGAAGTTTGTATTCCATACACAATTCTTTTCATAATCAATATACAAGTGTTATACTTTCTTACTTGCTGCTCATCTCTTTTTCATGTTCACAATGCCATTCATGGCCCCTTTCTCACATGGTATTATTCGCCAAAGATCCTTACGTCATCTTTCTTCCGTTGTTTCCATTTTGTTCTTTGATCGGGTTCTTCAATCGCTTTGAAGTTTCCTTCGTTGTTTTCTTGTCTCTTGCTGGTTGTTTTCTTGGTTTGTATGATTTCTTTTTTCCCATCTCTCTTTTGATCTGGTTTCTTTATTTTTTGGGGGTTTTCTTGGAAGCGTTTTGGTTTTTTTTTCTTGGTTTTTTTTCTTGGTTTGGTTTCAATGGTTGGTCTGGATTCCATTGGTGTTCAACAGATTCCTAAACAAGACATTGTTAAGCTCACTGAGCATACGTATCTTTTATGAAAACTCCAGGTTACTCTGGTGATTGATGCTTATGGTCTACTTCGGTATATCTCCAACACTGCTGATGTTCCAAGAGAATTTGTTACTGATGGGCAACGTGTTGAAAATTCAGTGTTTGTGCTCTTTCGGCAACAGGACAAACTGTTAGCTTCTTGGATTTTAACCACTGTGAGCATGGACGTCTTACCCCATTTGACGGGTCTCACATCGTCATTAGCCATATGGAATACCATTTCTCGGCTTCTTGAAAGATTAAGCTCCCGAGATGTTATTTCTTGGACTTCTATTATTTCAGGTTCTATGCTACGTGGATCCATGCATGAAGCGCTTCTGGCTTTCTTTAAGATGCAAGAAGATGGGGTTGCACCCAATGAGGTGACAATTATGAGCAGTTTACATGCATGTTCCTTCATTGGACGACTAAGGATATTGCAGTGGGTTCATGCCTTAGTTTCAAAATTGGGGTGTCATTAACATGAACTTGTATTAAATTCTATAGCTGAGACGTTTGTGATTTCATCTACACATCCGATTCAAGTCGAACGGAAGGAAGCATCGACACTTCCGATTCAAGTCGAACGGAAGGAGGCATCGGCACTTCCGATTCAAGAGGAACGGAAGGAGTTATCGGCACTTCCGATTCAAGTCGAACGGAAGGAAGCATCGGCACTTTCGATTCAAGTTGAACGGAAGGAAGCATCGGCACTTCCGATTCAAGTCGAACGGAAGGATGTAGCGCACTTTCATTTAAGTGTTTTTCTTTTCATCAAGAAGCGCACTTTCGGGAGAAGATTGAATTTCATGGATGTTCAAGTTCAGAAGAGCAAAAGAAGAAGAAGTAGAGGGAATGTTAGCATATTGAGTCAGCAACAATGGTGCCTGTATTGCGTATGCACTGCATATGAATGATTAGCTTGCATGGTGTTGTTAGTAAAGTAGTTAGGAGCTTTTTGAAGCTGTTAGTTGTAGTTAGGGCTGTTAGTATCAGTTGTGAAGTTTGTTAGGCTTATATTAGATATTATAAGTTGTATATAAACAGCAGAAGTTTGTATTCCATACACAGTTCTTTTCACAATCAATATACAAGTGTTATACTTTCTTACTTGCTGCTCATCTCTTTTTCATGTTCACAGTGCCATTCATGGCCCCTTTCTCACAAAGAGAAATTCAAGTAGGAACAACGTTAGAAGTTTAAGGATATAGAAGTGTCATGATAGGTATGTTACCGATTATGAGACTAAGTTCACGAGACTAAGCCATTATATTGCTTAGTCACTTGTTATCGAGAAGGATCCATACACCAAGTTTGAGAAGGTATTAAAGAATAAAATTTAAAAAGTAACTTGATATCTATCATGAGACAGTATTAGACTTGTAACATTATATGCTCTGGTTATTCTAGTTGTAATCCAAATTTGTTCTTACAAATTATCTCTATTACTTATATGTGAATATTATGAAATAGGTTATTTTTGTAAGTGTAGAAAAAAGATTGATACTTGTTCTCCTTATGAATATGGTGAGCACTTCTTGAGAGAATGTCCGCAAGCAACTCAGATCTTCCAAACTCTCATTCAAACACATGTTTAAACTTGCACTATAATTCAAACTCCAATTAAGGGATCACGATCAAGTTATGACATTTGAGTTTACTTTTGAATATGTTAATAAGATTTAATTATTTCAGTGTAGGCCTAACCTGGTTAACTCATGATGATTTATTTAGTCAGACATTATTGAACATTTCGATTGAAAGATTGTTACAATTTATAATCTTGTAAGCGAACCTATAGTACTGGACAAGATATATAGGAGATATCCCCTAGAGATTCAATGATAGATCTTCTTAGTTAACTTACTAAATTTGTTGTTAGAAGAGTTTGATTTTATTTTTGGTGTGTATTCATTGTCGGACAATTGAGTTGATCTAGATTGAGAAATTAAGAGAGTTGTTATGAAGACTTTTGATGATAGGAGAGTAACGACGATCAATGTCATAAATTCCTAGCCAATATTTTATTTATTATGATTGAAAAGAAGACGATCAAGAAGAATTTCAGAGTATTTTCTGGTTTAACTTGTACAGTATAAGTTTCAAATATGATATCCAGTGAATCCGAATTGTTATAGAACTTTTTAATGTTTTTCTAGCAGATTACCTGAATTATCTCTAAACAGAGACCTTAAGTTCAAGATTGAAATCCAATTCTATTCCATATCCGTTTTTATGATTTTTTTGTTCTGACTTCTGAGAAGATTAAAGAACTGAGTTTAATTTTGAGACTTATTGGCTGATATTTAGAGACTATGATTTGACTAATGAAAGCTAAACAAGCCTATAGTTGAGAAAAAAATAATTATTTGCCTAGGATTGATGATTTATGTGATTAGTTTTTGAGTAATTATTATTTTTCTGAAGATAGATCTAAAATCTTGCTACCAATTTAAGGTGAAATCTATTGATGACTCTAAGACAGTTTTATGCACCCATTTTTTGTGGTGTTCATTGATGATATACAATAATATTATATGCCCAGGATTGACAAATATCTATAGGTTGTTCTGTAAAAATTGAAAGAGCAACAATCGTGTGTCAAATCGAATTAGCTTATTCTTCATGAAATCCATAATTTTCCTTATGTTGTGCATTTTGGTATGAATAAGATGTACTTTAATTGATATGAAGAAGAACATTGTACAGTTTGTGTGGAGATGTCTGACAAGTCAATAGGTTAAAATTGAGTATTCTTATCTTTATGGTCTATTATAGTCTATTAAGATTCATGAGTAAAAATAGAAACGAATGACTATGGATTTTATTTGTCGGTTATCGTTAACCCCTTATAAGAAAGATTCAATATGAAATATTATGGATCTCTCTAAATTCAACTCACTTTGTTCTTGTTAGTGTTAATTATTTTCTGGATAGGGAGACTAGATTGTATATCTCTAAGATTTTTAGATTATTATGTCTATCATTCTTGATTGAGATTTAAGGGTTACTTTTAAATTTTGAAAGAATCCATGTATAATTTTTGAAGTATGTTAAAAACTCAATCATGAGATGATCATAATGATATATCTATTTTTATCTTATTTATTAATATAATACATTGTCCTTATTATTTCAATTATTATTTCGTCTATATAAATAAATTGAACTATAATAAAGTCCTAAGAATAATATGATTATTCTTAGAAGTCCTTAGCCAAATTTGAGATCATCATTTTTTCCAACATTATGAGTCACATGTTTTGATATAGTCAAATATATGTCGTAACGAGTTGCAATATAAAGATTGATATTGGACATGTCATGATCAATATAGTAGGATATGGTTAATCAACATAATGTTTGTCCCTCTGTAAAGAATCATGCAGTGTTAAAAAGTATTTCTTATTCTTTATCTTTTATGGCAGCATATCCTTATGCTTATATAGGTACACTGTAACTAACCACACTCCTAGCTAGCAAGTCTAACCAATAACAACACTTTCAACAAAATATCAACTGCTCTCAACTGCGCAACAACCTACAGTCACCTACTTCTCTAATATTCTCCCTACTTTCTTTTCCTTCTCCAGGATCAAACGAAAAAACTTGAATTTTAGATCTAAACTGCTCAAACAACGGTCTGGACAACGGTTTAGTAAACCCATCTACAACCTGGTGGCTAGATGGGACATAGTTAACGACCACCTATTTAGCAGCAACCTTCTCTCGTACAAAATACACATCAAGTTCTACGTGCTTAGCCTTTGCATGATACACTGGATTGCTACTCATGGCCATAACACCACTGTTATCACACCAAATACCTGGCACTCCTTGTCTCATAACCCCCATATCCGAAAAAAGTGCATCAACCGAAGTCACCTCTGCTGCTGCAACAGCCACACTACGATATTCAGCTTCCATAGTGGACCTCAAAACCATCTTCTACTTCTTAGAAGCCTAGGACACAAGATTATCTCCAACAAATACACAATGCCACTACCTTTACATTCACGTCGTAAGGAGATATCACCAAGCCATAGTCGAGTGTGCCTGCAAGATAACGGAGTATGCATTTAATAGCAACAAGATGACCCTGACGTGGTGCATGCATGTACTGAGCTACTTGATTCACACTAAAGTTGATATATGGTCGAGTATGACACACATAAAATAACGCTCCAACAACGCTACGATACTCTTTTGCATCATATAGCAGTTCACCAACATCAGACTGAAACTTGCCCAGAATCATAGGCGTTACCATAAGATTGGTTTTATCCATACCAGTTTTTAACAATAGCTCAAGAATAAACTTGCGTTGACTCAGCACTAACGATTCTCCAGATCTTTCGACCTCAATACCAAGAAAGTAGTCAAGCTCTCCAAGATCTTTTAACGAAAATACAACACTCAACTGGCGAACTACATCATCAACTTCAGTACTTGAATTACCAATAACAACAATATCATAAACATATACTAGCATATATGTATAAATACCATTGTTATTACGAATGAACAATGATGTATCAGCCCTAGACTCAGTAAACCCAAGCTAAAGAATACACTGTTCCAATCGAGCTTGCCAATTCCTAGGCTCTTGGCGAAGACCATACAACACCTTGTTAAGCTTACACACAAGCTGACTGCCATCTTCAGCATATTGCTCAAACTCTGGTGGTTTCTGCATGTACACATCCTCATGCAACTTTCCATTTAAAAACGCATTGTTTATATCAACCTGACGCAGATGCCACTATCTTGCCACATCTAATGACAAGACAACATGAAGTGTAGCAAACTTAATTATTGGACTGAAAGTCTCAGTGAAATCCTGCCCTGGTACTTGAGAGAAACCTTTAGCAACCAAGCGAGCCTTGTATTGATGAACTAATCCATCTGGATTAGTCTTTAGTCTGAATAGCCACTTACACCCTACCATTGACCACCCAGGTGGTAACTTCATCACATTCCATGTACCATTACGCTACAAAGCATAAAATTCAGCATACACTGCTACTTTCCAGTTAGGAGACTTCAACGCATCATACACATTGGTTGGTTCCACTGCATCAGAGGTCATTACATATAATTTAGGTTTGAAAACGCCGCACTTGTTCCTTGTAAACATAGGACGAGTATTCACAGAAGGTGTAGTAGACACCAAAGTTTCTTGCACAGCATCATCGTCAGTGTTAGGCACCAAAGGTTCTTGCACAAAATCATCTTCAGTGTGCACATCAGTCTAATTATTAGGAACCAGCACCTCATCAGAACTCACTACAGGAACATAATCATCAACCATTTCTAGTGGTCCACTCCCTGAAGCATCCTACACAGAACCATGCAGTTCACCAGCAGCATCCAGAATATCTGTCACTGCTCGTAACTGTTGAATATCAGTTACAATCTCTACATCAGCTGGCTATACTCCAGACGTACCAGCTACACCTGTTGTAGGAGATTCATTAGTTAAGCCTGCAAATGGAAAAACACATTCATCAAAAACCACATGGCAAGACACATAAATCCTCCCACTCGAAGCAAGATAAAGGTATCCTTTGTGTTGAGAGATATAACCCAAGAATGTGCATACTTGAGATTGAAACTCAAGCTTATGAGTTTGAAACAGTCTTAAGTGGGGAAAACACTTGCACCCCAAACACCTTCATCGAAGCATAATCAGGGTTCTTCCTAACCAGTTTCTCACATAGTGACACACCATCCAACACTTTTGTTGGTAATCTATTAATAGTATGACAACAGTCATGGCAGCATAAAACCAATATTGCATAGGCATAGATGCTTGGGCTAACAAGACCAAAACAAGTTCAACGATATGTCTATGCTTCCTCTCCACAACTCTATTCTGCTCAGAGGTGTGAAGACATGAAAGCCTATGATTAATCCCATCTTGTAGCAGAACACGAGACGAACTCCTGTATTCTCCACCCCAATCGCTTTGAATTGGTTTAATGGGGACACCAAACTGGGTCAACACTAATTTTTGAAACAACCGAAACACCACGACAGCTTGAGACTTGTTTTGCAAAAAAATAGATCCACGTATGTCTTGAATATGTATCAACGAATGTCAAATAATATTTAAAACCTTTGGAAGCAACATGAGCAGGACCCCAAAGATCAATGAACACTAACTCAAAAGGAGCATAATAAATAGAAGTGGAATAGGAAAACGACAACGGAGTAAGAATTACTTTTTCATTTAGTTAAATTAACAGAATTACCTTTTCTTAAGCTTGAAGCCAATACATGATGGGCCTTTCTATTAGTATTATTCTTTTGTGGTTCACATCTACAAAAGACATCAAAATTGGAACTGTTCTTTTTATTGTTCTTGTCGACCCCAATTACAAAGGAAAATCCTCTTATCTTCATTATTAACATTGCGACCATGATGACTCTTTCTTTTAACTCTAAAGGATAAAAAGGATGAATCCAAATAAACATTCCCATTTATCTACTTAAACTTTCACCACTTTAGTTATTTCTTGAAGCATCACAAGTAGACATCGAATATGCATTTGTTGCTTCCACCGCTGCAGCTACATATATAGAGGAGTTGATGGGCGGGTTTCAAGTAGTCCCGGATCTAGACAAACTCAGGCAGCTTTTCAGATTTTAGTCAGCTCCTTCGTCAAGTGCGTTTTACTTGGATCACCATTCTCACGTATACAATTTCACTGCCTTTTGCTTTTGGGTCTAGAATCATTAAAAAAATGCAAAACAAAACTGGAAATTTTTAAAGAAATAATTATTACAAAGGCAATGGATATTGAGAAAGGAAAGTCAATGAATGAGGGCAAATTTGACAGATTTTCTTTTGGGAAGTGTTTTAATTAATTTATATTATTATAGATAAATGATATGAAAATGAATATTGATGTTGATTATTTTAATTGATTGGGATAATTAATGACATTGTGGAAAGGATCTATAAAATCATTTCTGATAAGATATCTTGTCTGTTGGAAGTAATTAAAGAAACACCTAAAATAATCCATCTAGACCAAAAATGTAAATTTCGATTAATGTTTGCGGATTTGGTGTTAAGAAGCATGATTTGATTGTTGGCATATTTTTTATAAGTATGTTCGTGAATGAACTTTGACCTAAGAAATAAATATGAGTAGGTTTGGTGGTTTAATTAGGTACTATTAAACTCAATTTTGCAATTTTCCTATAAAATGATCCATCTTTCAAAAAAAAAAATACACACATTAAATTAGGGGTGAATATTCGATCGAGTCGAGTCGAGCCAAAAATTTTGAGTTATTCGAGTTGACGAGTCGTATTTTACAACTCAAATTTAACTTGAAATTTTTTCGAGTCAGTCGAGTTATTAGAATTTCTATACTAATTTTATTATAATTATTTATAGTATTATGACAATGATTTGTTCCAATTTTTTTACTTTCTCTAACCATATAAGATATATATATATTTTATAATTTTTTCACATTAAAAATTTATTTAATATATCAAATACAATCTAAAATTATGAAATATATTCATAATATTATATTTTAAAGAAAGTATTTTGAGGATAAAATATTGATGAGAGTATAAAGAAGTCAAGAAATTGATGAGAAGAAAGAATTTGCAAACAATTGTACTTAAAAGACTAAATTGAGTAAAATACAAAGTTAAGGGACTAAATAAAAAGAGAAATATTACATTTTTAGTAAAAAGGTAATAATTGAAGTTACATGGGCATTCTATTTTGGTATATAAGCATGTCGTTCAAACTTGGGGAAAAAAGGGACTCAAAATAAGGATGAGGTGAAGAAATAAGGAAATTATGAAAAAATGAGGGACTAAATTGAAAAATATAAAATTTGTTAACAAAAAGATGAATTTAAAACGCATATGTATTCTATGATGGTTTAGGAGCATGTGATTCAAAATTGATAAAAAAAAATAGATTCAAAATAAAGGATGAATCGAACAAATATGAAAATTATAAAAAATTGAGGGATTAAATTGACAAATAGAAATTTTGTTATCAAAAAGAGAAATTGAAAGTACATATGTATTCTACGATGGTCCTAGGAGCATGTGGTTCAAATTTTGTAGAAAACGACTTAAAATAAAAGATGAATTGAAGAAATATAGAAATTATAAAAAAATTGGGGGACTAAATTGAAGAATAAAAAATATATTATCGAAAAGAGGAATTGAGAGTAATTTGAATTCTAAGATAATTTAGGAGCATGCGGTTTAAATTTGATAATAAAACAGATTTAAAAGAAATGATGAATTGAAGTAATAATGAAATCAGGTACTAAATCGTAAAATTGTTAGAATACTTAGTTAAATTTTTAGTTTGTCGAGTAAATCCAAATTTCAAATTTTTAACTCTACTCAAACTCGAAAACTGAATTGATAATCCGTGTTGACTCGAATAACTCAACTCAAATAACTCAAAATAAAAAATTAATTTTTCAAGTCAAGTTGAGTTTTACTCCACGTACTTAAATAGTTATTAAAATGAAAATGATGTATCTCTTTATGAAAAGGATTAATTGTTTGGGTTTGAATGCATGGGAATTCTTTTTCAAATTGCCTTTTTAAGTCTCCAAAGTTTGTTTTTATCCTTTGGCAGTCAAATAGACAATGTTTGGCAAATTGATCTCTAGATTTTAGTTTTGAAATTAAGGATTAATTCTAACCAAAATCAATTCGAAATTTAGACAGTATCTTTGTTACAGCTTTAATTGCATGTTTGAACTATAAAATTAGAAGATGAATATTAATACTGAAATCAACTAACAAATTTTGATTTAGTCCCTAAAATGAATGAAAGTCGGACATGACGTCCATTTGAGTTGTAATTTCGGATGATGCATGCTTTATTGATGTATGTTGGCTTAAGTTTTAAATTTCGGTATGGTTACGTATGAAGTTTGTGAAAAAAATAAAAGTATCCAATTTAGTGAGACTTTTTGCATGTTCCAAGTTTGTACTCGCTTAATAATTAAAATAACGATAAAAATAGAAAAAGAAAGACATAAGATATATTCTTTAATAGAAGGATGGATCAAGACTCGTATCTTAACAATTATGGTGATTACAAGAAGGAAAAATCACTTGAATAGAATGCGAGACATGGTAATTACAATAACAAAAAAACCACTTGAACAGAATAATGGATCAAGACTCGTATCTTCATAATTATGGTCCAAATAATTAAAATTATTTTTTTAAATGATGTTTTAATATGTCACGTCAACTTTTCTAACGACGGTTGATTGCAATAACAATGTAAAAATGAATTAGATATGAAATTATTAAAATGTAAATATTTTAAAAGCATAAGAACTATTTATGTAATTTACCATAAAAATAACTCAAAAGAAAGTTTGATGACAAAAATAGAAAAGCAATAATAGTTTGTTTTCCCAAAAGAAAAGAAAAGATATGAAAATAAGAAGCATGAAGCTACCATAGAATTAGCTTCCAAACTCAAATCACATGTCGCCGAAGTCCATAGTTCCTCTTGTACTCCAGTTTCTCCGCTTGCTTATAACCCGTAAAACTCTCGTCTCTATCCACAGATTCCTCTCCTCGATTTTTGAACCCGTCAAAAAACTCATCGGAATTATAATGCCCAATCAATCCGATGACCAAAACTCCGATCCCCCACCACCACCCTTTGATCCATATAAACCCTCCGTACCCATCTCCTACCCCATCAACACCCTTGAAGAACTTGATTCTGCTTCTTACTTCACTTCTTTTCACTACCCTTTTAATAAATCCACCGTTCCTCTCCGACCGCCTAATTCAGCCTTGCCTCCAAGGCCCAGGCTTTTGGTTTGCCATGACATGCAAGGTGGCTACGTGGACGATAAGTGGGTCCAGAGTGGCGATAATTCCGGCGCTTATGCCATCTGGCACTGGTATTTGATCGATGTTTTCGTTTATTTTTCTCATAAATTGGTCACCTTGCCTCCTCCTTGTTGGACCAATACTGCTCATAGACATGGGGTTAAGGTTAGTTCCCTCGTACTTTAGTATGAAAAGCTTCTCTTTTTCTGGTTGAAGAGTGTTTAACTTGGCCTATTTCAAGTTGAAAATGGTGGGTTCAACTGATAAAGCCAGGGGATTTTTGAATTTATGGTTTTTCTTTCTATGCTGATTCCAAGTTGTTTGAATCTATGGTTTTTCTTTCTATGCTGATTTCAAGTTGTTCTTTTTCTTTAAGAAATGGAGTTTTTGCTTTAAATTGCATATCATTGTGAACAACAAAGTTGTTAACAATGCAAGAATTACTATAGATTTCAATAATCAAAGAAAATAACAAGTCTTTACTCTTTGCCAAGTCAAGAATTGTCTTTGTTTCTCTTCTAGCGTAGCTGATACATTTTGGAAGTCCTTTGTGTGTTGAAAGTCTGTTTCATTTTCTTTGGATTGTGGTGTGTTTTAGATACTAAAGGGAGCTTAATATATGTTTTTTTTTTCCTGTGGCTGCGGAATCTAAGGTATTGGGGACATTCATCACAGAATGGGATGAAGGGAAAGCAATTTGCAAGGAACTGCTTTCGACAGAGGAGTCTGCTCATAAGTATGCTGAACGCTTGGCAGAGCTTGCTGTTGCTTTAGGCTTTGATGGATGGCTGGTATGTGTTACACATCTATCAAGCTTAGCACATACACATTCACAACGTTACAGAAAAGCATGCTAAGTTTTTAGGACAAGGAAAGATGAAATTAAGAGAATGTTTTATCCTATTTTGGAGGAAGAATAGCAGTTATATACTGTCAATAAATGTTCTTCCTTCTGTCAATATAATTTAGGAAATTTTCATATAATGGCTGTCCCATTTCAACAATTAACCAAGGAAAGCTTCCTTGCAGCTCAATATGGAGGTTCAAGTCGATGTCGGACAAATCCCTAATCTGAAAGAATTTGTTAGCCATTTAACTCAGACTATGCATTCCTTACTTCCTGGATCTTTGGTCATATGGTTTGTAAAAGAAGCCACAAATGAACTATGCAATATATTTTGAAGTGCATTAAGTTTTTGTCTGATTAATCTTGTTTGGTTGTGCAGGTATGATAGTGTGACTATTGATGGAGATCTTAACTGGCAGAATCGACTGAATGAAAAGAATAAGCCTTTCTTTGATATTAGTGATGGAATCTTTATTAACTATACATGGAAGGTTTTGCCTTTATAAACTTTATCATCTATCTCAAACCTAATTTCTTTTTTTTTTAGGAACCTCAAACCTAATTTCATCTTTTCTTGAGTGTAAGACCTTTTGTATATCCTGCAGGAGGACTACCCAAAGCTTTCAGCTACTGTTGCTGGTGATAGAAAGTTTGATGTATATATGGGGATAGATGTGTTTGGAAGAGGAACATATGGTGGCGGTCAATGGACTGTATGTTCCTTGCAAATCTTACAATAATGTTTCTGTCATAGAGATATAGCCTTAATTTTGGCTTTTTGGTTGGTTCCAGGAGCTAACGTGTGGAACATATCTCAATTCTTTGAGATTTGTTCTGTTTTTCTTATTTATGGTTCGATTTTTTTGCGTTTTGATGATATCTTATTTCTTATAGATGCCGTACTCATGTCAACATATCATAAAGTAGATGTTATACAACATAAAAATCATGCTTGTTTTACATTGCATTGCATAAAACAAAAAATCATGCTTTCTTACTGTTGCCTTTTGATTGGGAAATTCTCATAAAACCACTCATAGCATTGTGGTGTTATACAATTATCTTTCAAATTCGGAAGCTGATGCACAAATTTGGTTGGGTTGTGATTTCGTCTATAGTGGTTACCTGCATACATTTTATTTCCTTTCTTGAGGAATCTTAGTGTTTCTATATTATTATAAATATGGTGAAAAAAAAATAGCATGTTCTTGAGTCTTGAGCCCCGTTGAATAAGTGCCTGAATTTATTCATCGTTTAATGATATATAATTGATGCTTTGAATTTCCATAGCAGTTTGGCGGCTAGCACTATGAACATAATTTGTTTTGTTTTGTTTCTCTGGTTGATTTACGTTTTTTGAATAAGGTACTAGGAAAAAGTTATTTCTGATTTTCATATTTGTTATGTTACAAGACAATATATTATGAGCTCTTTGCTTGTAAATGCATTAACTTGAGAGTGAAAGGTTATAATCAGTTGTAATTCATCGAATTTCTTAATAGCTACAGTTCAAGTTCGGCTAGTTATTATTGCTAGTTTCTTGTGTCAATTGTCCTTCAGTTTGACTGATTGAAACCCTAACAATTTTTTCCATAATAGACAAATGTTGCACTTGATGTGATAAAGAAGGACGATGTCTCTGCTGCGCTATTTGCTCCTGGATGGATATATGAAACAAAACAACCCCCTGATTTTCAGACTGCTCAAAATCGGTATTGCACATTTTTCTTTAGGCTGATTAGTATTGTTATGGAATGCTTATTCATTAAGTAAGATGTCTACTCTTCCCTTTCAATGATGCTTTGGTCCTATGCATTTTAATTTCAAGACTTCTTGGTTTTCCACTTCATGCATGAAGCCAATGTCCAACACCAATTTTTTATGAGTGTAATTATGCATCTTAGTTACTGACTTGTACACAGTTTGACATATACATATATGTTGGTGTGTGTATTTATTTGTAATTTTGTGATGGTGATTTGATAATATAATGCCAGAAATTGTACATATCTTTTCTCATTTAAGCCTTTTCAAAGAGCTTCACCGCAAATCCTTGGCTTTTGCAGTTGGTGGGATCTAGTTGAGAAATCATGGGGAATTGTACAAAATTATCCTAAAGTATTACCATTCTACTCAAATTTTGATCAGGTTGCAATCATGTCAAATATTTTGTTCTTCTCTTTTGTATGTTTCAAAATGAGCGAACATGTAAAACTTATTTGAAAATTATTACTTGTTACGTCGGATTCCTCAGGCATATATGTGTGTTTTCTACATATTGACTCTCTTGTAATTTCACAGGGCCATGGCAATCATATTTCTATCAATGGAAGACAAATATTAAGCACTCAATGGAATAACATTTCTTCACAAACCTTTCAGGTAGCTACTTCATGGACATATCTTGATTCTTTCAATTGCCACTCACTGTTTGATGTTACTCTTAAGTTGTATATTTATAGAAAAAACGTAAATGCTTTTACATTCTTGTTTCAGCCTTTCCTCAAGTATGTTGACAATTTTTCCTCGAACACTATTGATGTCCGTGTTGAGTAAGTTAGCACGAGTCTTTGCACTTGACATGATTCAGCCATATGTATAATGTTCAGAGGTCTAAGAACTGGTTGGTAAAATGACAGCTTTAAGGAAGCATCTTTCAGCGGAGGAGGAAACCTCACATTTAAAGGAACCCTTGAGGCCAATGCCTATGTCTCAACCAGACTCTTTTTAGGAGAGCTTGTTATGGTTGGCTTACCTGTTCATTTTATGTATTCGGTAAACTATCTTGATTCTCGATTAAGTGTTTCAGTTGCAACTGACTATTCACAAAATAAAATATTTGTAACCAATAACAATATAATGCCTTATGCCACAAATTGCTGCAGGTAAAATCAGAAGGTAACTCTCAAGTGGGTCTTTCCCTTGAATTCTCTTCTGAAATGGAAGGAAAAAAGAAATTGCTTATTGCATCCCACAGATTGAATCAATTCTTGAGAAAATTCGATGAAGTGATTGTGGCTCGCCAACTTACGAAATCAGACATGGCATCCGGATGGGCTGTACAAGAGAGCAGCATTTCATTGGATGGTTACACATTAACAGAAATTGCTGCCGTATGCTACAGGCAACAACCAGAAAGTACTGAACCTAGATCAATAAACAACCAGGATCAAGCAGCATACTTTGCTGTTCTTGGACACATTAGAATTTCAGCTTCGGTAGAAAACACAGTATTTCCACCATCAACTTCCTGGATCGTCGAGAGTCAGGATGTCAAATGGGGAGGTTCCGAAGGTTCAAAAACCGTTAGTCTTAAAATCAGCTGGAAACTGAAAGACGGAAAGAATACCCTTTTCCCAAGATACAATATCTATGTTGAGAAACTAACAAAACAAGAAGTGAGGCCCCTAGGAAGAAAGCTAGGAAATCTCTCCCTAGCTCCTTCTTATGCACTGAATGGTAAATCGATGAATTCTGAAACAGAAGGTGAAGGGGAGTACATTGGAGCAGCACAAATTGAATCCTTTTATGTATCCAACTTGATCATCCCTTTTGCCACTTCAAGCCTCAAATATATCATTCAACCATGTGATTCTAGTGGTGCCAGCCAGGATGTCGATGATGCCCCATTTTTACCACTCAATGTTGAAGGTCAATGAACAGTTCTGCTCCTCAGCGTTAGTCTTGATTTAGAAAAAGAAAAAGAAAAGAAAAAAACTGGCTCACTTTGAGAATATATGAGCCTTCACTAGCCAATTATTATTTTCATGTATCATAATTGTGTTTAGAACCTTAATATTTAAATAATTTGACATGTTAATCTGGTTATATGCACATTTATATACCATGTTCTACAAATTTGTTTGTATTTTTCTTTATCATGTAATAGGGTCCAGGTTTCCATAGAGAACACATGAATTAGTATCCAACTCAAAGATCTAAAGCTTATCAAGACCACACGAAAAAAAAGAGTAAAAATTGGGAAGTTGTACCGTGTGGCAGTATTAATATACAGCTAAGAAAATGTGCTACCGGTTTTGTTATTTTTTTAACAAAACTGGTAAAAAAATTACTTAAAACATTATTATTTCTACTTAAAACATTAACCGGTAAAGTGCTCAATAATAACAAAACCAGTAGAAAAAATAATGTTTTAGGTAGTGTTTTACCGAATATGTTAACATAACTTGTAAAATGCCCAATAATAACAAAATCGATAGAAATAATAATGTTTCCGATAATTTTTTACCCGTTTTATTAAAAAATAATAACAAAACTGATAGTACCTTTCTTTAGTCGTATATTAAGGCTACCTCACAACTTCCCTAGAAAATTGTACCAAATATTCCATCTTCTTTGTCCATGATACAACTGTAAAGTTGTCACACAGATGGTTCCCAAAACACCATATAATATCTCCAAAGACCAGATCAACCACGAGTCTGCCACGCTCCCACCTAGGGATGACAAACGGGCGAGTCGGGTGCGGATACCCCCTACTCTATCCCCATCCCCACCTAATATTTTCAAATCCACCACCCGCCCACCACCCATGATGGGTAAAATTTTTCAAATCCACACCCACCCACGCGGGTACATTCTCAAATCCATCCCCACAAACACTGCCCAACTAGAGACGTACCCGGCTAGATTCGCCTGACAGCATATATCTTACACAATATTAAGATTTATAAATTAGTCTCTAAAAGTATACCTAAATTCATAATGGTCCAAAATTTAATGGGTATTTAGTGGGCGGGCGGATACAGGGTGGGCAGATGCGGGGCGGGTAAGGTCTCAAACCCATCACCCGCCCACTACCCGCAATGGGTACCACTTTCTAAATCCACACCTGCCCACTACCCATTAAAGTTATATCCATCCCCGCCCCAATTGGGGCGGGTACAATGTGGAATCCACGAAATTGTACTCGTTTGTCATCCCTACTCCAACCCTCTACCTCCTCATCTTCATCGTCCACGTTCATCCAATGGACCCTCTCCCATCTCTAACCGCCTTTAATATCGCTCAGCTTTGTTGTTCGCCTCCTCTCTTCACCACTCAAAACCTCTTCAGATGTTCTTCAGTTTTCTGAAGTTTCATAATCTCTCTCAACTCTTCCATTCGTTACTTTTTTCAAGACAAGTTTCATCTTTCTTTGTTTATTTTCAGCCATGTTGTTGAAACTTGCTCTATCTTTTTCCTTGTTGAACCCTCAAGTGGAACATTGGGGCCTTCCCCTATTTTTCTCTGTTCTTTCATCTCATTCCTGTCTTTCTCCGTCCAATTCATTTCTTCTCCGACAAATAAGTCTGGTTCTGTTATTTTCTGTGCAACCAAAGGAGCCAATAACAAGCCGCTAACCGTGTTATTTTGAGCCTTTTGAGGAAGTGAAGAAAGAACTCAATCTTATCCCCACTCTGCCTCAAGCTTCTTTGGCTCGTCTAAAGTACACTGATGACTGTTAAGCTGCTATCAACGAGAAAATGAAGTGGGTTTTTTTTGTTTCTTTTCTTTTGGATCCCAAGTCAACTCTATATTTAGAAAAATTCACATTTTTGTATTGCATCTTTTCTAAGATTATTGAAAAAAGATGATTCTTTTTGTTTGAGGGGATTTGATTCTTTATGTATTTCCTTTTTTCTTGGAAACTAGGAATTATCATCAGGTTTCTTTATTTCATATGTTTAAATTTTAATATAGTATTATTTGTGCCTATGTTTTTGTCACACTCCCAGTTTTCACTTTAAAAATTTAATAAAATTTTGGACTAAATTATGAATTTTTGAAATTCTTAGGTTATTTTCAAAAAACTGGGAAGTTTAAGGACTTAACCCTAAATTAACCCATTTTTTAGATCTATTGAAAAAAATAAGATGGTTGGGGAGGCTTGAACCCGTGTCCATCAGAGTAAGGCTGCCCATACCTTTACCATCTAAGCTAAGGCAGTATTTGTGTCCATTCTTATTAATTATGTGTTATAATATTTATAAATTTAACCTTTGTTATATCAGAATTAAAACCCCCTCCCTGTGGTTCAAACCCTTTTCCCCCTAAAATTATAACCTAGCCACCGTTGCTTATTCTCCAAAATCCGTTTCGATCCGACTGCCAATACCATGCTCCATCGACACCGGTCAAACCAGCGTCCTCCGACGACGTAAACTCGACCCTCAATTCCACTGTTACGGTCACCTATCGTTGATAGCCGAAGGAGAAAATCTCAACCTGTCGCGTCGATTTTCGACAAAATCTAATTATCGTGCTCATTAGCTCGTCTCACTGCCCTTAAATCTGGATTCATGGTCACCGTGCGCTCAAAACCCGACTGAATCCATCTTCTGCCATCATCGTTTTCCTTATCGTCGGCGTGGGTAAGAGTTTTGAATATTTTCTTTTGATTTTGACGAATATAGGTTGATTTAAGAATTGATGTGGGTTGTTTTAGCTATTTGGATGCACTGGGGTGATCGACCATCGACCAGACCCCATTTCACCGGTTCACGTGCCCTCACGCGTCGCCGCGTGCGCGTAGGGCTTATCCCCACTCTAGTTCCATTTAGAAGCCGGTCCAATCGGTCTGGACAGGCCGGAACCGGCCCAACCTGACCCGATCCGTTGACTTGACTCGACCCGAACTGTTTGACCCGACCCAAACCGTTGAATTTAACCAGAGTTAACTTTGACCAGGGTTGACTTTGAACCGAAAAGTCATATTTTATGTTTTTCGACGTCCTGAGTCTGAATCCGAAGTCCGTTTATCCAAATTCAAACTCGAAAGCCTATGAATTAACCCGTAAACCCAAAAAATGCATATTTATTTAAGTTATTTAATGCAGTTAATTTAATCGAATGGTTAAGAACTAATTATGGTTATCGTATGTTAAAGGTACTTGGGGATCTCCTGACCGTTCGACTGCTCGACCCGGTTCCTCCCGATTCGTTCGTCCTCGAGAGGTCGTGAACATCCTTATTGTTCTGTTAGATATTTTGTTTAGAATACTATTCTGAATATGACATTGTTCTGATATGGCTTAGGTTCCCGTTCAGTCAAAGAGCCTAGTGAAGCCGGTGCTCGATAGATCTTCCGTATTGAACCGTTTTGTGAGGTGTGTTCCTTATGTGCAGTATAACTGTTTTAAATATTTGTTTGAAATCTCATGTGCACATGATTGTTTTCTCTTATTTGAAATATAATGTTTGATCTGATTTGACTACTATATAAACTACCTGATTTGAAACCTAATTCCTGATTTATTGAAATGTAAAGCATGATTGCCTGAATTATGATTCCTGATTACTGTTTTACTAAACTGATTATCTGTCTAAACTCTGATTTACTATTACAACTAGTTACTATATGAAAAATGTTTTATTCTAGGCACTCTAGGATCTGGTATAAAGACTCTGGAAGGTCCAGTCGTTGTTGGTAATTTCTTAGATAGGTTCAGAACCAGCTGATAATTCCTTATGGACCTAAGGCGACCCTTGGGTAGGCTCTTCGGCCCGAGATTTTTCTTTGGTAAGCCTCCGTGGCCCCGATAATTATCTTGGGTAGGCTATCAGGCCCCAAGGTACTCCCTTTGGTTGTCCAGTTCTGGGGAACTGCATATGGCGTTCGTTTGGAGGACGATTCAGAGTTTTTAAATTAAAAACTCTTATGGTATTTTAATCACTGTGATCTGCACTGATTTTAAAAGCATAATTGTATGTTTTTATTTCTGCACTGTTAGGACACACCGAGCCTCTATCTCACTTTTTCAAAATGTTTTACCCTCCTTTTAGATACTCTTGGATAGGTACTCTGTATCAGGCATTTAAATGATTGACACATTTAGTACAAATCTTTTTTTTATTTGTAATGTTCTATCTTCCGAACTACTTTTAATTATAGTGACATGTGCCTTATTTTTGAAGTACTTATTTTTTTATGATGTTTACTACTTTTGCTACTGATATTTGATTTATTGTGCTCTGGATTTATTACATGTTTTATTTTACCTAGTCACTTTTAGTTTTTTACTAGTTGGGTTTTATAGTTAATTATTATACTTTTATAAATGTTATTTGTAATATGATTTTAAATTATCGAATAATGTTTATCGAAAAAGATTTTAAGAATCTTTAATGTAATCCGCTAGACTTAGTCGAAATGTATAGGCTGGGTTTAGGGGGTTACATTTAATTGATATCAGAGCTTTTAGTTTTTAAGCATTGGACTGTGAATGAGTCCAAACTGAAAAAACGGTTTTGAAATATTTTACCAAAACATGTCACTAAGGTCATGTCACAAAGTTTTTAAGAGTTTAACTGTGTTCGAGACTCTAATAGTCAATCTAAATCTAAGCTTTATCTTCTGTAGTAAACCCGAGATCCACCAAGATGAGTGCTAGATGTGCTCGTTGATCTAGTCGTGGGCGAGGTCGAGCGATTAGATTTGCAAACCAAGTAGATGAGATATGTATAGATCCCCCGCCTCCGATAGATAATCCTGCTCTTGCGACCCCGACGGATTTGCCTCTTGCCGCTAGTATTGGCTTGACTACTCCGATTAGAGGAGCGACCATTACTAAGCCTGAGTTTACTAGAGTTGTATTAGATGAGAATCTTGGTATACAGTTTCTTCAGTTGATTCAGAGAGTGGTTAGAGCTGGTGGCGTTGTACCTGAGGTTCATATTTCTCAGACTCTGATTGCTAATGGAGTTAGGACATTTAGTGGTCTTACTGGTGGAGCACCGACTGAGGCCGAGGATTGGCTCAGTGATACCGAGCGACGTATAGATTAGCTAGGTTTAGATCCGCATCGATGTTATTTAGGAGCAATTTCTATGTTGGACGAGAATGCGCACACCTGG